CAGTGACGACGCGTGCCCTATCTGGAAGGGTGTGCGGCCCTTCTTTAATGTTGTTTTTACATGTACCAATTATATTAAAATATATGAGATCTTTTATTAATAATAACTATATTATATAAGGCAATAATATAGTCGCAATATTATATTAACAATTCATTAACAAAAGAACATATTAAACAAATTAAATTAATAATTTATATATAAATTTAATATTATATCAATATGGAAGAAACAAAACTTTTCATATACTTGTAACATCAAACCAACTTTTTTCAAACAAAAGAGTTTTAACTCAGAACCATACATGTTTATCCAGTGATCAAACAAAATCAAACCCACTTGCAACGTACAATTGTGCGCACAAGTACTCCGCACAGTAAGAACAGAAATTCGTGGGTGCTACTATTAAAAGGGGAGAGACGAATTGTGATAGAAATGTATGCTGAGATGAGCTGCAAACTTCAGCCGCTCACGCAACCACTTTGGCAAATCATTATGTTGGATTCGTATGCATGCAGTTGATATTCGAATACAACAAAAATTTACTCTCATACAATTCCCACTATATAAATCTCTATCTCTGATATTACGAATGGGAGCACACGCACATTATTTTGTTCATATGCAACGTATGAATGTGCTGCCAACTTCTTTGCACACAAAGGGGAGAGACGAAATAAAATAGAAATGTTCTGTGATTTGAACTGCAAATATATGAGCACAACTAACAAGTATAGCAGCTAACAGAAGCAAATTGATTGAGTTTTCATAGACAATTATATTTAATTGTTTTTGCTAAAACTTTAAAAAAATATATATAGAAATGTAATAAATAATAATAATTCTTGATGTGAAGATACTTAATAAATTTATATTTCAATGTTATTTGACATTTTGGAAATTATGTTAGGGTGTTCACCGCACACCTCCGCACCTTAGAGCAATCGTCACTGATATCATTATATATATATATATATATATATATATACTAATATATATAATATATACTCATATGTATATACTATATAATAATAATAATATATTATAAATAATATATATAAATATAAATATGAGTAGTATATATTAATACTATATATTATACTATATATATGTATATATATATATATATATGTATGTATGTATATATATATTCTAACGAACCTTTTTGGCCGGGGTTTTGCTCGCCGGATTCCAGGTCCAGTCCTACAATAAATTTATTTGATAGGAGCAGTGGAAAGTTTGCTATGGTAGGACGTATGACATAAATAAAGGTTTTATTACTCGGATCTAGGTTCCTCTATTTCTGTTGCTATTAACGAAATGTTGATTTCGTTATCAATAATGTAACGACACACTTTCTGTCGCTGATGATGCTGAGGTATACTCAGCCGTCGTCCAGGGGTCGTTGCAATATAATTTCTTTTTCAAATCAAAGACAATTTAATATATGTGATTTACTGATTTATTTATAATTATAATTCAAAAAAAAAATAAAAGAAATGTTAAAATTGAACTACCTTTACATTTGTACAACACTACTAGTCAAGACGTATGAACTACCTTGACTTTTATTCAAAGCTAGAAATTTCTAATTCCTTGTTTTCGCAAAGACGTATAACTGCCTTCGAGAATTTTCCAACAAGTGATTTTTCTTCTAACACGTACGCTTATTTATACTAAATCGACCGAAGCTTTTCTTGTAGCGCATACATTGCTTTAGCTGTTATTTGTTTTGATTGCCGTTTTAGAATTCGCTCTGCTGATTTATTTGATATCACACATGTGTTAGTTTATCTCTTTGTCTCACTTGTTTCCTATTCTCACCTTCTCCTCAACTTTTGCTACCGGTTTTTAATTCGCTGTGAGAATTATGTTTTGACATTCGCGTACTTATTTTCAAACACGTTGTAAATTTTTTCCCTATTTTAAAAAAATAATTCGAGTGATTTTAAATTATATTTAATTTACTATATAAATTAATTTTATAAAAAATATTCATGGCAACTAATTTACGGGGTGATTTTATATAATAATAATTGTTGGTGCCGGCTTCGATTTGTGTGCGGCTTATTTCAATTTGTGCGCGGCTTATTTTACAAACAACAGTGGGATAAAATAAAACGTTGTGAGTTTATATTCAAGTGAATTTTATTCAATTTATAAAATAATTTTATTTCAGGAATTTAATTGGAATTCCTAATATGTGAGTGAAATTTTGTTAAGCTTTATTTTTTTCTATTACTTCAAAATTTTCTATTACTTCAATATAAATTTAAAAAAAAAAGAAAGTGTTATAAAATTTTCCTTCACAATAAGTAATAGAAATGTATATTTCTATTCTATGGGGCTGCTAGCGAAATGTTGCTTTGTAAACAAGTAAATAATAGGA